CTCCCTCTTGTCGGGTGCCCCCATAGCAAACAACTTGGTATGGGGGCACCCGAGCACTCCCAAGTCTCTTCTATCTATGCCCATTCACACGCAGAGCTTGGCTCTCCCCCCTACCTCTCCTGACTGGCTCACTGGTTGTTCTTGACAGTAGTGGGAGCCAATGGGTCTCGCTGCTGCCTCAGCTAATCAAAGTGAGAATCCAGGCTCTCGTGGTCATCACTCCTGCTCCCTCACTGGATCAAGAAGGGGCCCAGGTAAGTGTTGGGGGAGGGGGGGGGGGGGGCTGCTACATACAGAAGATTTTTTTACCTTCATGCATAGAATGCATGATGGTAAAAACCTTAAGACTTTAGAACCACTCTAAGGGTTAAATGCTTATTAAGTCTAGGGGATGATGAATAAACTGTAATATTTACCTTATTCCTCATTCTTTTTGTAGTCAGTGCCCTGCTCGTCTCTCCAATGCTCCAAAATGTGGACAGACCATTGTAGTCTACAGTGCAGGCCTACTGCTCCTGTATTATATGTGATGATGTTAGAAAGCCTGTGGTGGAAGCCTGCTCAAGCAAGGAATAAGGTGAATATTACAACCCTTAGACTTAATAAGTATTTACCATTGGCAGTGTAGGAGACCCCACTACAAAAATGTTTTGCCTCTGCATGGAATAGGGCTTTTTCCAATAGCTGTATACCATTGAGGAGAACTACCCTCACTCTTATGCAGAGAAAGGCGGTAATGAAAATATTTCCAAAGTGAAGAAATCCTTACTGACACTGTTGTCCCCTTTGGAACATTTCTTTGTTCCTGTTACAGTGACAACTCCAAATTTTGGTTTTCCCCTTACATTCTATCTAAGCAACATCGGGACACATAGGGGCTATTATACATTTTTACAAATAAGATTCACAAAACCTTCACCCTAGATGCATACATTTTTCCAATTAAATTCAATTATAAAAAGTGCTACTCTTAGGTAAACGTTTTGTGACTTTTGTGTGAAAAAAAATTTTTTTTAAATCCCAATGGTATTGGTGAGACTTACCTATAAGGATACTGATAGATATTCATACTCTACCCCAAAATTTAAAAAAAGGCTTTGTCGAAATAGGAATAGATACACACAGTAGCACTCTTCAGAGACAGGGATTCTTAGTTTGCATTAAAGAGCTTTAGAAACAGTTCAACACTTTTCAGAAAATAGGATTTATTACTAAAAAGGTCGAAATGGTGCAATAAAATATTTACAGAAAAAGATGTAGCCAATATATATATATATAAATACAGAGAGCAATACCACAACAGAGAGATAACATAAGATTCCTAGATTGTAAGCTCGAAAGAGTAGGGCCCTCTTACCCCTTGTGTGCTGTTTGATGTTACTGTACTGTTTCATGTATTGTCCCCCCTCTATTGTACAGCGCTGAGCAAACCCTTTGGCGCTATATAAACTCGATAAATAAATAAATAAATAAAATAAAGAAGTTTAGAGAGGTAGAATACTTGCCAGAGTCCTTGGTTTAAGCAGATTCAAGTGTCCTGAACAAAAGGGTACCATTTCTCCCAAAGTTGGTTTCTGAAATTAAAAGGGAGAATCTCTTCATCTTACCTCTCAAAGGCCTGACAGCCTGTTTTCTAGTCCCCCAACAGGGGGTGTCTACTGAAGCCAAGGGCCAATCGCCTCATTTGGGAAGGGGGTTTAGGTAGAGACCCCAGCTGTGACCCAAATCTCTCACAAGTCCAAACCATGGTCAATAACCTTCCATAGGTACATGTAGCATCCTATCCACTGGTATAATAATGTGCAGAATCATATTCTGAACGTCCAGACACCAGATATGACATATCTGCCTGTGACGGTTAAAGAGATATCACTTTCTGCTCTCGGGTAGACGTAATCTAGGGATGTAAGGTATCAGGTGACTCGCATTAAACTGACCTATCTGAATATATGCTTTGTTCTATTTTACCTGTTTCCTGTCGGGAGTTATGACATAGTATGAAAAAGTGGTTTCAAATAGGATGTATGTTTTACTGCTATTTCGGAATGCTTTTCAAGTCCAGTGACTGACGGGTTTATAGCTTTACGATCCGGCCATAGCAAGAGTCTGTCAGACACCCTGGAACCAGCTAATTGGGTGTACAACCATGAAGTGTATCCAGCTGTGCCGTGTACACTCCTGAACTCAGCACACTCACAGACCACATGCCATTCAACAAAAAGGGAGCGGGACTGATTTGGAGTGAGAATGACACAAGATGGTGGATCTTGAGCAAAATGAATGTCCACATCCATATCTGTACGTACAATTGCTACACCATCCAATTCAACGGACCTTAGCCTGAGTGGGAGCCACTAAGCATTTATGGTGGGTCACAGTAAAAAAAGGCTATAGATAGGCTTTGACAAGAATAGTATAATTATAGAAATGGTAGATCCTCCCACTTAGCACTTATTTAAGATTTGAAAAAGTGCACTAAAGTGATTTAAATATCTAAATATAGCCTAAAAATCGAAATATCTATTAAAGATGACAAAGCTGAGAAAGGTCTACGTTAGCTAGTTAAAATCTTTAAAAAAAAAATGAGGGGGAATTTTGTTTTCTCAACAAAACTTTCCTTTGATAGGCATTGATTATAAAATCAGAAGTATTTATTTAAAAAAGACAAAAACATTTTATCTTTATTGAAATTCACTGTGTTGTAATTACCATTTCTAAACTTTAATAAGGAAAATGTTGTAGTAAAGTAACACATATGTTAAAACAGTAATTTAAAAAAAGGAAATATTTCCTAATGAAAATAATCAGATGCTCTAATGAATGTCATTACATTTAATTCACTAACATAAAGCATTTTTTTCATGTCTTTAAGTTGGGTTGCCCTTTAAAAACCTTACCCGTGGTGTATGGTGTATATATAAATTGATAAATAGCCTCCTTCACTTGTCTCATTTACCATCTGGCTCCAAGGCAATTAGGCTTATTAAGGTAAAAATAAGAATGTTGTTATGCAAATCGGCACTACCCCTTTAACCACCCACAGACATTGAAAACTAGGGAAAAGAAATTCTGTCCTGAAAAACATTACAATCTATGTATATAAAATATTTGTGCTTAAATGCTAAGCATGCTGAGTAAAGAAGGAAGTAAATATTGTATCTGAATTTACAATGGTCTTTAAAAAAAAAGAGATATTTTTGTGATTTACTCATTTATATATTATCAACACATATTTTATGTATGTATACTGAGGTCCCCAATGGTTTTAGATATAGATTTCTTCTAGAATCTTAATTATACAGTATATATGCACACCAGAAATTTTTGTTTTGTTTAGTTTCGGGTTGCATTCGTTCATTGAAGGATTGCGTTTCATCATGTTCATTATTTGGAACCATTTTCAGAATTTGTCTTTTGTCTTCAGCATTCAGTTCGTATATTCGTTGGTTGAGATGGATTAAAAAAATATGCAGTTTTTACAGAATATAGCTATATATTCTATATGTTATCAAAACGGACAGATTTGAATCAGAATGATTCAATATTCTTAGAAGCTAGTCCAACTCACCAAGAGAAATGGCATGGGCTGACTGGACAATATCAACTGGCATCATGTGTATCCGAGTTAATGAATGGAATGACATTTGGATCCATTTCACTATCAGAATCCAAATTATCAAACAAATTTGAAAATGGAGTTCAGTTCCCCATGGGCGCAAACTACTATTGCATCATGTGAAGTCATCCGAATGAAATTAATGCATTTCCTTATAACTTGTTTCATTGACATTCATTACTGTTTCCATTCGAATATTTCTATGCATCCAAATCTCCAAAAACGAAATTTTCCTCTGAAAAATGAATCAAATGGACAGTCTTATAGCTTGTCCAGTCTTGACCAGGATCCCTTATAAAGAGGTATGGATTTGATTGCGCTGAGCTTTTTACTTTAAAAATATATATGGACTTCAGTACATTATTTTAAAGGACAAGACAGAGCCCTTTCCAATTACAAAGTCTACATGTATATAAAGACAAATCTTCATATTCCACTCTATGCAACCGCCAGGCCAGAAATCATTTACAGATCTTTATAACCCAGGTGGGAATTAAGGCATAGTTAAAGGTACATTTTTGTTTCTAAGCATTAGGGAGCCCTTGCAATTAGTTTCAGCTACAGGCACAGTCTGAGCCTTTGCCATTTTGTTGTTTTATATAAGGTGATGGGACATATAGAATTAATAAAATTGATTTTTGTAAGCTAGTATCAACATTGCACATGTACTTTACATGTACAAAGTACATTTCCTTTAAAATTTAGTTCTGAGATTGTCATCAAGTATTCCCTGCAGTTCCAAAAAACTCCCCTGGTGGATGCAATATTAGGTGCACCGAACCATAGGGTGATATATTACAGTATAATGGATTATGTAATTATTTAAATTAATGTACAATATTGTAATGTGTTATACATACTGGAAACTGAGTTATATATGTTTGTTTATACAATTTATTACTTCATTGTATTTTTTCCTGAAGAAGGGGACCATTTGTTCCAGAAACAAGTAAAATGGGCTCCAGGATACATCATCATGTGACCAATCTAAAGCCATTAGCAAATTATTTTAAAACTGTAGATTAAGCATGGTGACTACATAGCTTGTATAGATATATGGGTTGCAGCGGCCCACATGATAGTAACATGAGTTTTAGGACCAGAAGGGACAGGTTCATTTGATGTGTAAAGTATCTTTGTTTTTAAGATTTGTGCAATCTGTAGGGTCTTTTATGATGTAAATGAAAAAATATAAATATGAAATTATCTGCAGATGTTGACATATATGGTACACTGAAAGGCCCCTTAATTATTTTGGGGTTCGTATACAAATTGTACGAAAAAAAGGCAAGTGAATGATTCTGATTAGAGATGAGCGAAGTATTTAACTTATATTCGCTGCGAATTTAACTTATAAAAAGGGTTTCTAGGCTTCAGAGAGCCTTTATATTAGTGCAGAACACTGTACCTTTAATTTAAATGCCCTTGGAGTCTGCTGGGGAAGAGAGAAATAATACTGTCAGTCAGTATGACATGCAGATGAGTGCTGTCGATCTTAGAATCACCGCACACTTCACTCATTTGGGCAGTCACGGGGCCAAAACCAGAGTGTGGAGCCACAGTGTGGAGGTGGAGGCAGCAGCAATGGGAGGCCATACAGCACCCTATGACAAAAATGGAACCCACCAGCAGTGTGAGGAGACCTGAAAGTGGCACATGGCAGAGTGTGGCGATGGAGACAGCAGCAAATGGGAGGCCGTACAGGGACCCATGAGACACTCTGGACTTGGCAGCAGCATGAGGAGGCGGTACGGGGACCCATGGCAGATTACGGGCCTGGCAGCAGCAATGGGAGGCCCGTAATCTGCCAGCACCCTATGACAAAATGGAACCCACCAGCAGTGTGAGGAGACCTGAAAGTGGCACATGGCAGAGTGTGGCGATGGAGACAGCAGCAATGGGAGGCCGTACAGGGACCCATGACACACTCTGGACCTGGCAGCAGCATGAGGAGGCAGGTACAGGGGCCCATGGCAGATTACAGGCCTGGCAGCAGCAGCAATGGGAGGCCCGTAATCTGCCAGCACCTATGACAAAATGGAACCCACCAGCAGTGTGAGGAGACCTGAAAGTGGCACATGGCAGAGTGTGGCGATGGAGACAGCAGCAATGGGAGGCCGTACAGGGACCCATGAGACACTCTGGACCTGGCAGCAGCATGAGGAGGCGGGCGGTACAGGGGCCCATGGCAGATTACGGGCCTGGCAGCAGCAATGGGAGGCCCGTAATCTGCCAGCACCTATGACAAAATGGAACCCACCAGCAGTGTGAGGAGACCTGAAAGTGGCACATGGCAGAGTGTGGCGATGGAGACAGCAGCAATGGGAGGCCGTACAGGGACCCATGAGAGACACTCTGGACCTGGCAGCAGCATGAGGAGGCGGTACGGGGGCCCATGGCAGATTACAGGCCTGGCAGCAGCAATGGGAGGCCCGTAATCTGCCAGCACCCCTATGACAAAATGGAACACACCAGCAGTGTGAGGAGACCTGAAAGTGGCACATGGCAGAGTGTGGCGATGGAGACAGCAGCAATGGGAGGCCGTACAGGGACCCATGAGACACTCTGGACCTGGCAGCAGCATGAGGAGGCGGTACAGGGGCCCATGGCAGATTACAGGCCTGGCAGCAGCAATGGGAGGCCCGTAATCTGCCAGCATCCTATGACAAAATGGAACACACCAGCAGTGTGAGGAGACCTGAAAGTGGCACATGGCAGAGTGTGGCGATGGAGACAGCAGCAATGGGAGGCCGTACAGGGACCCATGAGACACTCTGGACCTGGCAGCAGCATGAGGAGGCGGTACAGGGGCCCATGGCAGATTACAGGCCTGGCAGCAGCAATGGGAGGCCCGTAATCTGCCCCAGCATCCTATGACAAAATGGAACCCACCAGCAGTGTGAGGAGACCTGAAAGTGGCACATGGCAGAGTGTGGCGATGGAGACAGCAGCAATGGGAGGCCGTACAGGGACCCATGAGACACTCTGGACCTGGCAGCAGCATGAGGAGGCGGTACAGGGGCCCATGGCAGATTACGGGCCTGGCAGCAGCAATGGGAGGCCCGTAATCTGCCAGCATTCACCCTATGACAAAATGGAACCCACCAGCAGTGTGAGGAGACCTGAAAGTGGCACATGGCAGAGTGTGGCGATGGAGAGACAGCAGCAATGGGGCAGCCGTACAGGGACCCATGAGACACTCTGGACCTGGCAGCAGCATGAGGAGGAGGCAGTACAGGGGCCCATGGCAGATTACAGGCCTGGCAGCAGCAATGGAGGCCCGTAATCTGCCAGCACCCTATGACAAAATGGAACACACACCAGCAGTGTGAGGAGACCTGAAAGTGGCACATGGCAGAGTGTGGCGATGGAGACAGCAGCAATGGGAGGCCGTACAGGGACCCATGAGACTCTCTGGATCTGGCAGCAGCATGATGAAGAGGCGGTACGGGGGGTCCATGGCAGATTACGGGCCTGGCAGCAGCAATGGGAGGCCCGTAATCTGCCAGCACCCTATGACAAAATGGAACCCACCAGCAGTGTGAGGAGACCTGAAAGTGGCACATGTTTGGGGCATGATTCATGGCGGATTTAGTCAGTTGTGTCAGGAACTGGTGGTTTGAAATCCAGACTAATCCACGCCTGATTCATTTTCACAAACGTGAGTCTCTCCACACTTTGGGTGGACAGTCGTGTCCTCCGCGGAGTTACAATACCTCCTGCCGCACTAAACACGCGCTCCGATGCCACGCTACTGGCCGGGCATGACAGCCTTTCAAGGGCAAATTCAGCTAGTTGGGGCCAAAGGTCAAGTTTCGTTGCCCAGTAGTCAAGGGGATTGTCTACCTCGGTTGGCAGGGTGCTGTCCAAGTAGGCCCAAGCCTGTTGTTTGAGGTCCTGCTCCAGGTCCACCTGATGCTGCTGCTGCTGCTGCGGCTGGTTAGTAGTTTCCTCACTGCGCTGGTGAAGAAAGCTACTCATCATCGACTGCAGACTGTGGCAGCCACTGCTGGTGGAGCTGCCACTGCTCCTACCACCCCACCCCTCCCCTGCTGCCATGGCAGCAGAACGCGAGCGCACAGGGCCCACAGTGTCTGAGGATGGACGTTGGCGCAGAAAGGCAGAGACCAACTGACTACATAGGTGGTTTTTTATAGTACGTTATTTTGGCCTCCCTCTCAGCAGGTGTGAAAAAGGCCACCATTTTTGAACGGTAGCGAGGGTCCAACAAGGTGGACAGCCAAAAGTCATCCCTCTGTCTGATGGTTATTATTCGGCTGTCGCTACGCAAGCAACCGAGCATGCTATGGGCCATTTGTGCCAAGGAATGCGAGGGACTCCCTGCCTCCATCTCCACAGCATACTGCCACGGTGCGTCTGGGTCCTCTGTCTCCTCCTCCTCCTCCTCTACCAGATGCTCCTGCTCCTCCACTCCTGTCCGCTGAGTGGAAAAACCACCCATTTCACTCAATAATTCCTGAGCACCAATGTCCTCCTCTACCTCCTCCTCTTCTTCCTGTCCTGCCCCCACAGGGGTCATGTGGCGTTGAGATCTGTGCGCCACGTCTACCGCACCCTGACCAGCCATTGTTAACAGCATTTGTTCCAGGACGTGCAACAGAGGAATGACGTCGTTCATCCCCATAGTCCTGCCGACTCACGAATAGCGTGGCCTCCTCAAAGGGCCTGAGCAAGCGGCAGGTGTCACGCATGAGCTGCCAATGGCTGACATCGAAGTTACACAGGGGAGTACCTTTATCCGCTTGTAACATCAGGAAATCGGTGATGGCCTTTCGCTGTTCGTAAAGGCGGTCTAACATGTGTAGGGTTGAATTCCACCTTGTTGCAACGTCGCAGATCAGGCGATGCTGTGGAATTCCGTTCTGCCGCTGCAGCTCAAGGAGGGTGTGCTTTGCGGTGTAGGAATGGCTGAAATGCATGCAAAGTTTACGTGACATTTTAAGGATGTCTTGCAGTGGGATGGTGGATTTTAGGAACCGCTTGACAACCAGATTGAACACGTGTGAGCCATGCATGGCGCATGGCACAACCTTCCTTGACGCAGAGCAGACACCATGTTCTTTCCGTTGTCGGTCAACATGGTTCCGATTTTCAGTTTGCGCGGAGACAGCCATCTGTCGATTTCTCTGTTCATTACACTCAGAAGTTTCCTCCCCTGTGTGACTACGTTCGCCAAGGCATACCAGGTGCAGCACAGCGTGACACCGTTGCGCCCTGCACATGTGATATGCCGGTCGGGTAATGGGACTTGGCACGGGGGGTGGCGGCTGAGGACACGGCGGAAGAAGAGGTGGTAGAGGCGGACATCTTTGCCGGACCAAGGACGTGCAAACGTGGAGGCAAAAGCGGCGTGACCTGTCCAAGTTGCTGGTGCGGCTGTGCCGGCACCACGTTCACCCCAGTGGGCCGTAAATGACATGTACTGTCCCTGACCGTAGTTACAGCTCCACACGTCGGCGCTGCCGTGCACTTTGGCAGAGACCGACATGCTCAAAGACTGGCCCACCATCTCTTCTACATGTGAATGCAGGGCTGGCACTGCCTTTTTGGCGAAGAAATGCCGGCTTGGCACTCTCCACCGCGGCGCGGCACAAGCCATCATTTCTCGGAAAGGTGCTGAGTCCACCACTTGGAAAGGGAGGGACTGCAGCACCAGCAACTTGGACAGGAGGACGTTCAGCTTCTGCACCGTCGGGTGCGTGCTCGCAAACTGTTGTCTCTTGGAAACGGATTCCAAGAAAGACTGCTGACGGAATCCGTGAAGAGGAGTAGCAGGAGAAGGAGCATCTGAACGAGCGGAAGATGCCAACGAGCGACAACTCCCCTCAGCAGAGGTGTTGGAGCCTTGACTGGCTGATAGAGGGCGATTGACGTCGGGTGACGGAGCAAGTAACGGAGCGGGTGATGGAGCGGGGGCTGGGGCAGGCAGAACCGCCGCCGTATCTTTATCACGGTTTTCCCAGGCCACCAAATGGCGACGCTGCATATGCTGCCGCAACGCTGTAGTCCCAACATGGGCCCCCTGGCCACGCTTGACTTTCTGGGCCACATAGTCGACATACGGCTACGTTTACTTCCTCGGGCGGCTTGACGAAAAATTGCCACACCGCCGAGTAGGAAACTTTGCCCCCGCTACTCCTCACTGGCTGACTGCTACTTCCTCCGTGCACACGGCACCACTACTGGCCGTGGTGGTAGGCTGCAGTGGAGCTGGTGCTCTACTCTCCGTGGCCGTTTGCCTCCACTGACACTGCTGCGACCCTGCTGCCTCCTGGGCAACCCACCGACTGTTTTGCTCGCTGCCAAGCTGGCACCCTCTTCTCCTGATGATGCGGAAGCAATAGCCTGATGACGACGAGGCTGCCAAGTGCGATCAGCCTCATCATCATCAATTAGGGTCTCCGCCTCACTACTAGCCCCCTCGGCTGCGTGTGGGTCAGGAGACAGACCTGTCTCTAGACCGGCTACCGAGCCACTCTCCTCGCCAGTACTTCTTCGCCTGGCTGCTGAAGAGGCGGATGTCTCCCCCCCGTTCCTGACCGCCCTCTGTTAGCTCTTCCTCACTGTACAGTGGGGCTGAGCCCACAGCATGCGATACTTCGCTTGGTGAGGGAACACCAAAGGACAGGGGCAGGTAGAGGACACGTGATTTCAGTGGGCTTGCTCCCGGGCCATGCAAACTAACGGTTGTGTCTGACGTACCCACCGACCGTTGGCTGTAGGTGTCAGAGGTGACCTGGGAAGAGGAAGACGACCGAGCCAACCAATCGATGACGGCAGGGTTGTCGGTGGAGACACGACCGCTGGATGACACCGGGAGCACTGGCCTCTGGCTGCGACTAGTGCTGCCTCGACCCCTTCCTCTGCTGCCACACGTCTGCTCGCTCCTAAAACATTGCCTCCTCTGCCACTCCTCTCTGCATGTTGTCTGACATACTCTTTAATTCAACGATTCTGTGTCCCTGAGTAACAATTCTGTGTCCCTCAGTAACAATTCTGTGTCTGTCCTTGAGTAACAATTCTGTGTCCCTGAGTAACAATTCTGTGTCCCTGAGTAACAATTCTGTGTCCCTCAGTAACAATTCTGTGTCCCTCAGTAACAATTCTGTGTC